TGATGACGCGTACTCGTTGTCAATAAGAGTACAGACCACGTTAAACCACATTCGATTTGTTAATTAGACTGTATTTTAACTGAACCAGAGGAAGACTCTCAGAGACGCTAAAAGCGCTGTTGCGACGATTTTATTAATCAAAACAATTACAATTTCCTCAAATGTGATTGGTGCATAAACTGCTGTATTTTGCTCTAATTAATCTGCAAAGTTGTAATCGGACACCTGTAATCGGACAGTTACATGAGCCAATCATTACAAGTCTTCTCCACTAAATCCACCAATCACAGCATTGATTACAATCACTATAGTAACCAATTCAATAGACTGACTGTAAAATTGTGGAGGTTTAGTCTTTGGTGACTGTTTTGACAGAGACTTGACAGCCATTTTGCAAGCTGTTCTCCATATTTTATAATTATGATATTCAATCATGACTATTAAAAGCTCTTTTTCAAATGAAACTTTTACTTTTGTGGGAAATTGTAATTGTTATGATTAATTGGTAACAGGACATGGTGTCGTCCAGTTCAGTCTGTAATCATACTCGTGGTTAACAAATCGGACTCCCGTTTCGCGGTCGTCCGATTTTGTTCATCACTCGTATGATTACAGACCGAATTGGACTCCACTCGGTCCTATTACCATCATTAAAAACATACCAAAAATGGTTTTTATGTTACCACTTACCATGCAGTTTTAAGATCTTTTTGAATGTGTTTGCTTTTCTGTATGTAAAGGCGAATTCTAAGGAAATCAGTGAAGGAATATCCTGTCCTTCGTTTTTCAGAAAAATGCTGATGTCAGCATTTTTGTTGACTCAAGGCTAATTATCTCGACAAAATGCTACCCCAGTTTTTCTTTGTGGATTTCAATAGCCCTTGCAAATATCTACGTTTTCCGCGTGGTCCTAACCTAGTGCAAAAACCTTTCTATTTAGTAGGTTCCGTCCTTAAACCACTCAAATTGCAATCTGCCTCTGCAATAAAATTTAATACGAAGGAGGTATCAGAAGATAGTCTTGAGACAACCACTCCCGCAATTGTCATTTTGTTGAATGTGACAATGTGTTTGCTGGATCTCCCTTCAGCTGAGATGAAAAACGTTTACGAGATGACTGACACCTGCCAATCAAATACACTCACTTGACAGAAGCCATAGTTATCGTCAGCTGTTGGGTTTCCAGCGTTGGGAAAAAACGCTTCTCCTACCAACGTAAAGTTAAACTTAGAACCATCGCCAAGGAAAGCAAACCAATCCTGTAAAGGAAAAAGAAAATACTTAAGAAGTTGTCAACAAAGACATTATAAATTCTAAAAAACAAAAAACAACGAGGCAGCAAAGCTAACCAGTATTGACGAAACAAAAGTATATAAACGGAGAGAATTAAGGAAAACAAACAAATTGTAAGACATAAATTTAAATTGTAACTAAAGTATTAATTTTTAAAAATAATTATTTTGGAAAATATAGTGTGTAGTATTCTAGCAGCAGATAAAGAAGACCTCTTTAAAGTGGAGTGGTCTATAATATGTTGCGATAAAAAAGGGTCCTGGAAGACAATGGTTGCAATTGTGGCAAACTCTCTAATGTTTGTTCGTAATCACAAAAACACGTTAAAAAGATTTCACGTACCACAATTGTGTCTTGGTGTTTTCCATCAAATGGCAAGAATTCCCGGATGCAAACTTCGAAACTTCCAGAATTCACGTTCTCCAACCAAACATACATTGCGTCATCAGGCTTGGTACTACGAGCGTACTTAGCTGAGACAAACACAGAAGGTCTTCCACCAAAGTTCTGTAAATTACACAAACTTATGTTACAATTGATCCATTGGTAGTTCGCTAAAATGAGAAGTTCAGTTCCACTTGTTTTGTAAACCATGACGTCAGGTTAGGTGTTTGCAAACTACCCTTTTGAGGTTCTGTAACTACACTTGTTTTTAACTTTGCTTATCAAAACAGAAAATTAAATTGAGATCAACTCCCATCTTAACAAGGACATAAGTTGATACAGTATATGTATGGGTTTCTTCTTGAGACACTCTCTGTCTGTTTAGTGTCTGACCTGTGAGAATGTAACTTTGTCACATTTGCTTTCTGTTGTCCACATTCCTTGAAAAATCACACTGCCATACATCATTTTTGGATGACTTTGATAGGCCAGCCAGTTAATAATTCCAGTTTTATTTGATCCAGTCCCCGTTTCACGTGAACAGACCTCAAATCCACGTGTGCTAATGGACTGAACCCACACTGCAGAAGGCGAGTGAACACGTGAAAACTCCTCACCGTGGCTTATTGACACGTGCACCTGAACCTAAGAAGCGTAAAATTTTAATATATCAGTAACAGAAATATTATAATTAGTAAAATAATTGAAACTACACTTTAGACCTGAAACTGCTTGTCTGACAACTGCAAGCCTACTGGTTGAAGTTTCAACATGCTTTAACTTTTTCAGTAAATTAAACCTGCACAAGCAACATTAATACTTTAAAGTTTTGTCATAAAACAGCGTTTAAATATTACATAATGTACAGTCATTCTGTACACTTACTTTTGCCGATCCACTGAACGCTTGAGGAAATGCAACGTTCGTACAAATAGCCAGTCGACAATTTAGAGGAGGTGAACATCCACTGCCACAACTCCAATCTTGAAAAGTTTGCGACATGTTGAGCTTGCCAGTTTGCAGCACAGAAATTCCTGAACATACAAAACGATGGACCTCAGTCCATTGACTAAGATACTAACGAAGAAACGCACATTAAGGTATTTTGACTGAAAAGTGAATATCAATCTTGTTTTATTATATTTATATCTGAGTAGATCTTTACAAATATTCCATCCAATCCCGAAATCAGTCGTTTTACGGCAAAAGAAATCTGCGGCGTTTGATCTCAACTCTGTGAACTAACTCGCAAGCACATAACTAAATTACCTCAGAACAAGAGACCCAAAAATTAATGGTACAAAAAAGACTTGAACACAAATTGACTCTCACTCGTAATATTTAACTTGCAGCTAGCTGACTGTAGCCCCGTCCACACTACGCAGGAGGAATTTTAAAACGGAGATTTCACTCTGAAAACACTTCAAATGTTTTCTGTCCTCAATAGGCCGGAGGAATTCGAAAACGCAACAATCACGGGTCATCTTGGATTCGTGTTTAAGGAAAACTCGGTCAGGGAAGTCACGTGATTATCGTGACACCATCGTTTTCGAAATGCTTCGTTTTCAAAACGTTTTTCGTCCACACTAAAACGCAAAGCCGGCGTTTTTAAATTCCTCCTGTTTGAAGAGCGTTTTCGAAAAGCGTTGTTATCATGACGGATTAGTGTGGACGTTAGGCCTAAACGTGTAAATAAACCTCCGTTTTCAAATTCCTCCTTTATAGTGTGGACCGCTGGGCCTATAAAATGTGTTAACAGGTACGGTCGGTCGCCGATAAAATCACTTTGAGTGTGAGCCGGACGAGTTTCTTGTATAACGCTGTCAGCAAGTGCAGCTTTCTATTGACGAATGAAATTACAAAAAAATATGTCACTGCCATCTGCAGCGACACAAACAATTAATTGTCACAAACTGAGATGCTTCAGATCTTTAGCGTGACAACAGTTGACGTGACGACAGACATGCGTACTTTTAGTCAGGGTGATTTTACTCACCAGTTAGTCGTTTGCATTTTACGCGAGCCACTAAATGGGGAAATAACAGGTGATGACTATTTTATGAAGTCCAGTTTACGAACTTAAAAGAAAAGCTGCCTACACGTATTAAAATTGGAATGAGATCAAAGAAAAGCAAAGCGCAGTTAAACCCTCTTTTCAAAAGTTGAAGAGGATTTACTGATCATGACATAAAGGAAGTCATTCATCGAGAGAAGTGAAAACGCGTTTGAACGCGTTTTCCACTAACATTTCCACTAAGAGACTATGAGACCGTAGAGACTATTATCTATGATGATCGTCTCTTGTTTCCACTAGTCCAAATAACTTCCTCTAAGATTCACAGCAAGCTTGGACGTGTTACATAGTTTTCTATGTTTGTATGCACAAGATGACAGTCCGGTGAGTTCTTGCACGTTCATGGAACTTCGAATCGATTTCGATTCCGAAAATGTTTAAAAGTGATCCTTTTACCTCCAAAACGCTAAGATAGATCAGATCGTACAGTTTTCTGTAATTAACTCGTCCCAATCCTCGCCGTCCTTATACCCTGCATAAAACATAATGTGACCGCTTATCTAACCTTAACAACTTAGAAAGAACTAACTACTGTGTTGTGACAGTCGAACCTCCGGTTGCGACTTTAGTTTTTAACCTCGTGCATTAAAACGACCACTTAACAGATAATAGAGCNCCAGTTTACGAACTTAAAAGAAAAGCTGCCTACACAGTATTAAAATTGGAATGAGACCAAAAAAAAGCAAAGCACAGACCCTCTTTTCAAAAGTTAAAGAGAATTTACTGATCATGACATAAAGGAAGTCATTCTTCGAGAGAAGTGAAAACGCATTTTAACGCGTTTTCCACTAACATTTCCACTAAGAGACTATGAGACCGTAGAGGGTATTATCTTTGATCTATGATGTTCGTCTCTTGTTTCCACTAATCCAAATAACTTCCTCTAAGATTCACAGCAAGCTTAGACATGTTACATAGTTTTCTATGTTTGTATGCACATGATGACAGTCCGGTGAGTTCTTGCACGTTCATGGAACTTCGAATCGATTTCGATTCCGAAAATGTTTAAAAGTGATCCTTTTACCTCCAAAACGCTAAGATAGATCAGATCGTACAGTTTTCTGTAATTAACTCGTCCCAATCCTCGCCGTCCTTATACCCTGCATAAAACATAATGTGACCGCTTATCTAACCTTAACAACTTAGAAAGAACTAACTACTGTGTTGTGACAGTCGAACCTCCGGTTGCGACTTACGTGTCTTTGAAGGACGCGAAGGCTGTACAACGGCATTACTCAGTTGAATTGTGCCGAAGGTAGTGCTAACTGAAGAACCTCAGGATCAGTGCAGAAATTTATTACCGTAGATTTTAGCAAAGTATGCCCAAAAAATTAAACTTGCAGTATCTTTGATGATAGATTTCGAAGCTTCGTTGAGACCTGATATTCATTGCAACAAGGAACAAAGAACGAGGAAATTAATTAGGTTGAACTGAGAAAGGAAACATCGGGTCCTTCTTCGAAGTTTAATTAAAATACTTTTTTTCTAAGAACTAAGATATTTGATGGTGGACATGGTGGACTTACCTTTCACCGCTAAAGTGATATTTCCAAGAATTGCCAAAAACAGCAAAAATGACGGCGAAAGCTGAAGACACATTCCCAAGCGCATCTTGTCGAGTCTTGAGGTGAACTGTTCTTTGAGTTTACCAGAGTCTTATTTATCACAAATCTTTAAACTGACGTCATACAGTACGTAATCACAAATATTACGTTTCTTCGTGGAGAATAAATGCATTGTTTTCAACAGGAATTTTTACAGGTCAGGTTAAAATCAAACTGAAGTTGCCAGGTATTAAAAAAAATTTCTCAAATTGTGACACGACTCTTGTTTCCACTAATCCAAATAACTTCCTCTTAGATTTACACCAAGCTGTGACATGTTACATAGTTTTCTATTTTTGTATTCACATGACGGCAGCCCTGTCAGGTTTTGCACGTTCGAAAAGTTTTCATCATGGCACATCGAATGGATTTCTGGATACCAAGTTTGATTTAAAATGCTTGAATGCACAAATGTAAATTCCACCATAACCTCTTGTCACATTGTTGATTGTCAGGGTTCCATTCGTCACGTCGGTTCTGTCTTCGGGCAAGCTACCAACTGCTTTGTACCACAAGATGGCTGACCAATAGCAGTGCAGGCGATGGTGACGTTTTGATTCTCTTCAGCCATCTTTTGACTGACTGACAATGAAGGCTTAGGAGCGACTGTCGAGAAATAGATCTCGCAAGGCCTTGGCTTGCTCGGCTTTCCGTTTTTTTTTTTTTGCGCTTTATCTCACAAGGGGCTTATTCAAAGACTATGTATATTGCAGTGCATTATTTCCCAACCAAAAAAAATTACCTTGCGTATGAAGGGTTGTCAAGCGCTTTCATTTCGCCGCTGGCGGTCGTTCAAGTTCCTCCCTGCTATTCCTTACACAATTGTAAAAAGTGGTTGAAAAATCGAAGAATCTGCAAAAGCCTTTGACGGCGCCTTTTAGAATCATTGGCAGAGGTCAGAAAAATATCAGCAACCTTTGGAAGTCCTCGGAAACCTGCGGTATTAATCTTTCGTGGTCCAGAGGCCAGCCAACTTTCATCAGGAGTTTCATTTGGAATTTTTGGAAACTTTCGCTAGTATTATTTGAGTCATTCACGGCACCTTCGGCGTTTAGTCAGGTAAGCTCTCATGCAGTTCTCATATTCGTTGTAGATCACTGGGAAGTACTATTTTAAATCATTCCAGTTAAGTTTAAATGTCATTTCAGGTAATTGTGCTGAAGGTAGTGCTAACTAAAGAACCGCAGGATCAGTGCAGAAATTTATTACCGTAGATTTTAGCAAAGTATGCCCGAAAAATTGAACTTGTAGTATCTTTGATGATAGATTTCGAAGCTTTTTTTGAGACCTGATATTCATTGCAACAAGGAACGAGGAACGAGGAAATTAATTAGGTTGAACTGAGAAAGGAAACATCGGGTTTTTCTTGGAAGTTTAATTAAAATACTTTTTTCTAAGAACTAAGATATTTGATGGTGGACATGGTGGACTTACCTTTCGCTAGTATTATTTGAGTCATTCAGTTTCGTTCACGGCACCTTCGGCGTTTAGTTAGGTAAGCACTCATGCACTTCTCATATTCCTTGTAGATCACTGGGAAGTACTATTTCAAATCATTCCAGTTAAGTTTAAATGTCATTTCAGGTCATTTCGGAAATCAGTCAAGTGTATTTTAGATCCTTTTTGGTTTATTTTAGATTATTTTAGGTCATTTTAGATCATAGTCGATAAAAGTTTCGTTTTTTGTCACTGGTATATTTTAGCAAGACGTTTCGGCTATCTCTTAAGTCTTCATCACAGGGAGCACACAATCTTGTTGAATAGGAAGAGATTAAATAAAGGAATGAAAAGAACGAATAGTTTACCTTTGTCTCCTGTTGTTATTTCTTACGGGACCTTACAGAGAAAACCGCTACTTACAAGTCCTGCGCAACACTTTAGCGCTAAACTCGTACCTAGGCCTTTTCGCGCTCTGAAAAAAACTTTTTTGCTTTACATATAACATTGCCAAAAAAGTGGTTTAGCGCATGCGCATTAAAGTGAGACGCCCAGTTCTTGTTAGGGTTCGCCATGTTGAATTGCAGTTGTTGTGTGTGTGATTTTATCCAGCCAAATCGAACCCTTTTAGAAACCATCGGAGGGTTTCTCAGTATTTAACACTGGCGACGAGGATGGGATAGACTAACTAACGAAGAATGGCAGCAGTTAATATCGAAATTCAAGGTGTAGCTCCGTTCGATTGCAAAGGTAATTCGTCTGCATTGGGACTACGTTGGAAGAAATG